CCTCTGAACTGTGATCTCAACCAGGTGATGGTTTCATCAAACTACCTCAGCCATCAGCACTGGCTGCCTGGCATCTGCTCCCTGGCATTGCACATCCACAGCTAATTTAGGGTAACTGTTGGGAACAGCAGTTCAGCATATGGAGTGATAAGGAGGGAAGATAGCAAACATAAACATTTAGCACAAGTGGATTTGCAATGAATGAATTTAGTAATAAAGTTTTATTTTAAACTGAATGGACTTGTGAGTTTCCAAAAACACTCGTCACAGTAATCTCTAACTCCCTGTTAAAGATATATACATATAAATACATAATATATTCAGTACAGCACCATGTCCTGTGCACCCAGCCTAACAAAGCTGCCAGATGCATTGCACTTAAAGATCCACAGCAAATCCATACCCTCTTCCTGCCAGCTGCAAACACAAGGCAATATCTCGAATGCAAAAGCTTACTCTGCATGGTGTTTGGACTCCCAGGTGTTCAGAACGTCCTCTTCAGGCACAGATGTAAACACACAGGCCACTCCTGAGCTGACTCAGAGCAGCAGAAGGGAAATGACTGCCCTCTGGAAGTATTGGAAGAGTAACCAAAGCTCCTGTCTCTTTATGACTGTTCTGGGATCTGAGGGGGAGCCACTCTGGGCTAGTTAAATTACCTGAGGTTGTCTGTTTATTGCCCTCTATTAACAGATAATGATGCTGGTAGTGGTTTAAGCTCCAGCTCCTTCACTGGCATATAGAGGCTGCTTGGCTTACAGAAAGGTCTGAGTGTAATGGAGGAAGCTCCTTGCCTCTTCCCAAGGAAGTCAGTGCAGGGAAATTCACATGGCACAATTTGGGTTAGTTTTATTTTTTCTCCATCAGTTTTGTGATAAGCCAAGACAATAAACTCTAAGGAGTCATAAACCAACAATTTCAGCAGTTCATTTGTCTGTGTTGGAGAGTGTAGAGCGTCAATATTGGTAACTCTCTTCCCTGGATTTCTAAGTTTGGGGTAACATTCTCACACTGACAACCATCTCCACCAAAGGATCCCTGCCAACCCTGGTTTCTGTGGATCAGAGTAGCTATTGGTCAGGTGTCCCTGTGCCTTTGTGTCTCCTGTGACCAGCACTTATAACCCTCAGCCATTCCCTGGACAAGCTTTCCTTCATTTGGAAGAAAATCAGATATTTGCTTGAAGCAAATTGGGAAATTTTTCATAAAAAGATATATAAACTTAACTGCTGTGAGAGCCGTCATTTTCTTGATACGCCAAAGACCCATTGAGGTCTCCTGGGTGGGGTAACATTACTCACAGGTACAGCCTGTAAGTAATTTTAATTTTCCTCATGTATTGTGGTCTTCTCTGGACAGGGAGAGATTGGAAGAATCACAGCAGGTAGGTGGAAGAAGTAATTTTTTTTACCTTTAAAAGGTAGAAAGGAGTGGGATTTGACACACTCTGCCCACTCCATTTTTTTTTTCCCTCTCTTGCTCCTGGACAAGCGGTCATGATTTAAAGTTATTTGCTGGGAAAAGTAATTTCCATAAATTACCTAATGGTTCAGAGAAACCAATTGTGAAATATTAATGTATGGTACTCGTATAAAGGTTTTAAGACCATGTCATTCAGTGATTATATACAAATTAACTGAAAAATTGTGTCCTGAATAGGGTCCTTGTCTTCCAGCAAAGAATTTTGGAAGGGTAAAAACATGAGATGCGTCTCCTTATTTCCCTCTTGGTAGTGGACTCCATGATGTATCTGCAGCCTTCCTTGTGGTACAGGACCTTGTAAATATTTGTCCTTGTTATGGAGCTTATCAAAACAAGAGAATGGCAAGAAATGAAATGCAGTCATTTGCTGGTTCGTGCTACTAATATAAACTACTGCATCTTTCAGGAGACCACATTTTAACTCCTCAGGCATGGCATTGTTTGATATGCAGTGATCAATTTCATATGTTCCGCCTTTTTAAAAAGACTTTATAACAGGTTCATTTATCACAAATCACTATTTATATCATTAATCAGCAAATGAAAGCAATTGTCTTTAGTAAAGCCAACCAACCTTGGAGAATGGAATCAGATAAAAATTAACAACTCTCATAGTAATTGTCCCCTATCAGTCCTTCTTCCCTACACATAATTAATGTGACTGAATCTTCAGCAATACTGGGGACAACAAATATTTAAGTCCATCCTCAGCATTTTTTTAGATCTTCCCCAGTCTGTAAGCTTTCAGTTTTCCTGGGGTCAATGTTAAATCCTGATTGTTAGCTGTTTTTTATTCACAGGTATATTTAACCTATCCTTATTGCTTGCTTTTTATTAGTGGTTAAATGGGTGATCCTCCACAGCCTCCCAGGGTTTGTGTCCTTTTTGTGTCTCTTTTTCCTTGCATCCCTTCATCATTTTCAGGGACTAGCTGAAAATCAGAATGGTCTTTCTACGGTGCTTATATTTGCAAGTTCAGTAGTTTCTACCCCCGTTTCTAAGCTCAGCTCTCTTAATCTATTTGAATTACTTCAGCAAAATTTCAAGATGTACAGAGGAAAAATGACAGCCACCATGCAGCTGAGAGCTCTTGAAATGTGATCTCCAGGGTCAGGAATGTCGTGTCGTCATTGGTCTTGTCAATGGGTGAAGGTTTGTCCATGAAAATCCAAAGACTCCAAAGGCTAAAGCACAAGCACAGCTCTAAGTCCACAGACTTAGAACATTTAATTCCTTAATTCCCTTTCAACACAGAGGATATAGGATATCTCTCACTCAGATTTTCTTTCTAGATGACTTGGTAACACCTGCTTTTTTTGAACCCTTTGTTGCCTGTGTATTTTGGTGCTGAAAAAAATCTCCAGAGCAGTTAATTAGGGGTGAGATAAGAAAGGGTTTATTTGCCAAGGCAATAGGTGATATAGACGCGCGCGCCGGCCGTGCCCGAGAGGTTACATTTTATAGCATTATCCATCCAATCCCAGATGTGTCCACCCTTTGGCCCTTCCTCTGGTCCGCCCCGGGCCCTCCCCCTGAGAATTGGGTCTGGGGTCTTTTTGGGACCACTTACTTCATCATCTTCAACTTCATCAGAGTACAAAGGGTACATTGTTACCTAGTTTTTGACCGTACTCTGTGGTTTAGGCCCTGATACGCTGTTCTCCAAACAGTCTAGGCCTTTGCCTTGACAAAAGACTAAACACTGCTACTGAATTCAGGGGTAGGTTTGATATAGAAGGCATAGAATGGGGTAAAAGGGTTAGGGAATGTGTAAACAAGGGAAAGGAACAAGGGGACAAAGGGGTTTCTGCTTTTTAAAACCTACAATTCTTACCAGTCTTACAAATATTAGAAAAATAAAAAAACCATTAGGGGCTTAAGGCATCACCTTTAAAAAAGGATTTTGAACTCTTTAAAAAGTTATAACTGCATTTGACCAACTGGAAATTGAAATAAGTGAGCTTCTTACCACCAAATTGGTGATGTGAATGTCAATGAACTTGCTCACTTCCTCTTCAAACTGCAGACATTCAACACTTAATGGGAAATCTGTAAACAGAGGGTGCCCCCTGCCAACATCTCATGATTTAAAGGAAAATCAACTGACAATTCACAATTTAGTTGATTTCTTTCAAGTCACACACAGATGTGGGGGCAGAGGGTTTCCAAGCATTTAGCTACATAAAAGTGATTTTTTCCAAGCTTTTAAATGTCTTTTTAATCTACACTGTGGACATAAAAAGCCACAGCTAGCAGCAAGAGTTAGTGGGAGTATCATTCATTCAACCAGGACAAAAGGAAAAGACTTCTAGTGTGTGCAAGGCGAAAAAAAACTTTACACACATGCCACAAAAAACAAGCCTGTCCCAAAGCACCACAGTGCCCTAGTCATGGAGAGGAGGCAGATTTCTTTGGAAGGGAGCTCTTGAAAGCAGCTTTCCTCTCGTCCTTGTCTTGTGTTTCTCCTCAGAGAATCTGAGCTAGCTGCTCTTTTTCTAGGAACCGAGAGAGAGAGCCCAGTGGCATCTGTAATAGGGATGTATTTACACATCACTGGGATTTAGCTGGAGAAAAACAGTGGGACTGTCTACTGCTGCTGTTCTGGGACATCAGGTCAATACTCTGGATGCCCCAAAAGAAAGAGCACTTAATTATGGTCTCTGTCCATTGCTCTAGGAGGACTTTCTCTGAAGGAACCAGAGAAATCATAAAAGGAGACATAGTTTTTGTCTGTCTTTTTAGTACTGGAGAAATGAGAACCATCACCTGCCATAAGCATTATCACTTGGAGTCTGGCTGTGTTGCTGTCCAGGGATGGATTTGAAACAAGTTCTGGGAAGGGGGACAGAGGAGACCCTAGAACAAGCATTGACATCAGTCCATGCTGTAATTGTTCCCCATTGTCTTGCAGTGGGGACTTAACAGCAAAATCTTTGGTTGTTATTAAGGGACTGTGCAAGTTTCAAGCTGGCTTCCCGCCAAGCCCCTGAAACCCGACAACAAGGACCCGCCTCCCAGAGAGGGAAGAGAAAAGAAAAAAAACCAAGCAGCCAAAGCTGTAGCAAATATATATATATATATATATATATATATATATATTTTTTACATATGAGACAGATACACAAAACGAGAATACCACACACCACAATTCCAGAAATCCCAAACAGCTCCCCAAAAAGGGAAGAGGGGGAGGGAGAAGGGAGAAGGACAAAAAGGGGCAAGGACCGAGCAAGTCAACCAGCCAACCGAAGGCAAACTAGCAAAAATCTCACCACTTCCCTTTGAACAGGCAGGATGGCTGGACACGGCCCAGCGCTCTCCCCTCACGCGTGGCAGACACAGCAGTCACTGCAGGCCTCGGCTCCAGATAAGCCAGACCGAGACAGGGACCCACCGTTCTCGAACCTCGCCGGAAAGGAAGAGAGCGAGGTCCCTCCTGCTGGCTTTATTTATACCTCAAGTTACGTAAAGGAATAGCATGGAATACTTCCGTGATCACTTTCCTAGTTCCTTCCTGGTTACAAGCTGGTCTCCAGGAAGGCCTAGAGTGAAACCACCACAGGGACTGAACCTGTTTCAGGCTTGAGTATCTCCAGGCAGTGAAACCACCCACTACAGAATTTCTTTATGAAAGATTGATTCCAGTTTATGTTAAAAAACTGCTTATTGCAAACCTTTATACTGCACATTGGGACTTCTTTCAAAATACGCTGGAGAGCTCTGAATCCACGTGTGATTTTACCCTCCTCATTTTCTCCCTCATTTCTAGACCTGCTACCTGAAGTATGTGAAAATCTTTTTTTCCTTTATTTTATTAAATGGGAAAATGGCTGACAAAAAACAGGGTGAGTGGAACCCTTCAGAATTCATTGCCTACTTTGGAGATTAATTATACCGCAGAGAGCCAGGAGATGAGGATATCTCTTCTGCAAATTGAACCTTAGCAATGTGTAACTGAACAGTTTTGTTTTTTTTTTTAATGAAGGATAGTTATAGTCATCCCTACAACTCTTTCAACTACATTATTAGCCAGATTTTTCTCTTTTCTAAATAGGAAAATGCTCCACTCCTGTAATTTCTGTCATGACTTTGTGCCAGATCACTGTGGCAGCAAATTCAACAGTCTGACTGCTCAGTCCACAGGGATCCTCATGCCTCACCAGAACCTTGGTAGCTTAGCCATTGTCCCAGAGATAAGGTGTCTTTTTTCCATGTTGTGAAGTTGACCAGAGATTTCCCCCAAAAGGCCCAAGGGAATGTATGTCCCTGAAGTGTTTCACAGAGCAGTAGATGAAATAGCTGGCACAAGCAGCAAGCAGCTTGTTCAAATCTGGTTCCATGGTTTCTTGTTTACCCTGAAGAGGTGGAATAATCTGTATTCTTCAGATGGGAGCTGGGAAGGATCTTTCTCCTTTTCTATCAGACATGCGGGGCAGGTTGTCAGCCCAACTACCTTGCTGAGTCCCAGGAGAGGTTTTTTCTCTGCCGCACTCTAAATCCCTGCACAGAGTGAGAGTTAAAAAAACCCAAATAAAAATTTCTTATTAACAGGTTACAGTGACTAAGGAGCTGACAAACTTCTGCAACTCAGTCTCCACAGAGATGCTTCCTCCAGAAAATCTTATGGAACATCTTTTTTCAAATGCTCTTAGACTTGTCATCATCTCTTAAAGGCATAAATTAAAGGAGTCTGTTTTTTACCTCAGTCACACAACCAGGATGCCATTATATGAAATGTTACAAGGAAAGGGGAAAAAACCACATTTTTGTTATTAGCATACTTGAGAATATTTTCAGCATTTCTGCATTTTAGAGGCTGTGCAATCCCTTATATAGGGCTTGTCAAAGTAGGTTTATTCCTACAGAAAAACCAGTGATGAATATATTTTACTGGGCATTAGTAAGATTCAGTGTGCAAGATTTCATCCCTAATTCCTTCTGAGCAAACCAGCGCAGCAGCCTCATATTTTTATGCAAGCTCATGAATTTTGCCCTTCATTAGCATTGTATCTTGGTTGTGTTCCACTAAAATATTCCGGATGACTTAAAGCACAGTGGGAAAACATTTGTTGAATTAAACAATGTTACTCATTTCTTTTTGATTGCTGAGGTTGGTTTAGGTTTTTGATGGGGTTTGTGTGATTCTGGGTTTTTTTTTCCCCTGTCTGCTGCTATTCTTTAAAATCAACATATTTGTGATGAAGGATAATAAAATATGCTCATGTTTAAATCCATGTCTTTAGGAGGATTTTGTGATTCTTAAGATTTGACAAAATGTGCTGTGCTTAGTTTAATAATACTGTATTATTGGACATTTTTTTCTAGGATCGGTGAGTTTCTTTCTACCCCGAGTTTTGACTGAGGAGTCAGATATTTTTCTTCCAGTCAAAAAAAGTCAACTGTAATTTGGGCAGTAATTAAACACAACCTGCTATAAGCACAGTTCTTTACCAGCCCCGAAATGGAGTGGTCAAGCAGATATTCAATGGCTGCTTTCCTCTGGAGTCCCGGCTCCTGTCCAGGCACAGACTCCAGGGCAGTGGATTGTCATCAGTGCAGATCCCTGAGAGAGGAGGTTGCTTAAACATTGTTTAAATTGCTTAGAAACCATGAATTTTAACTCCATATGGTTATGCCTCAAACAGATGTGCTTCCTACATTTTTAGGAATGTTGGAAAATCTACTTGAGTTCATCAGGTAGATGAGCTGCATGTTCCACAAGTATATCACCACTGCACAAACCACAGCCCTATGCTGGATGCTCGATGCCCTTCCAGCAAGTGTGTGGCATCAGCATTAACTTTCCTGTAGCACTTTACCCAGTTGGACACTACTCTGGCCAATAAATAACTAATTCTCAGCTGTTTACCTTCCTCCACCAGCCATGATCTCCCTCACTTATGCTGATGTTTTCTCTCATGTTCCTATCCCAGACTGTTCATCTTTCATTCTTCTTGTATGCTGGAGCTTGCTTTCTGTATTTATTTAGTATTTTATCAACAAAGATTTAAACCCAGGGATCCAGCAGCAGCTTTTCTCCAGACTGCATCTCAAGTGAATATTACTAAAAGTAACATGTAAACCCTAAAATAAATTTCAAATAAGAAGGCATTTCATCTTCTCTGTTTTCATAACCATATTCTCTGTTTTAAGTCCAATCTGAGAGAGATTTCTTTTAACTAAAAGGATTTGCATATGGATAGTGTTATTTTGCAGTACAGTGATGGCTTTCAGTCACCTCAGTGGAAGTTCCAGGACTTTTTTTTGCCTTAATCAGTCTGTACTGCATGTTAGATGATCAGGACAACAGAAAGATAGGATTTCTTTTCTGGTTCTATTAGTAGATAAGGACTAGAAGGGACTTACTTGTTCTTGCATAATGTTCATCACAGGATATTACTAAGTTCAAAGACAACCTCCAAGCAAAAATGCAACATTTCCAACGATTCACAGTGTTTCTGTGTATGGAAAAATAAACAAACCAAACTTCTTCAGACAGGACGCTATTTGGATATGTTTAGCTCTCAGTGGTATGATATTGTGGTTTATTTTGCATGTGTGTGTTTTTTCTCAGTAAAACTGTGATCATCAACTTAAGATACTTTCATTGCTGTACTCAAAGTGCTGAGTGCAGCATCCTGCTTTTACAACTAATGTCTGTTTCCAAAAGAAGTGAAATTTGGAATAAGCAAAGGTCATGCTTTGTTGACCATTTTTTATACCCAACTTGGAAACTATTATATTTCCCTTTTCTGAATATGTAATCAGCAAACTAATTATGACTGACGTGTTATGAAAAAAATGGTGATTAAGAGGAAGGAAGAGGAGACAGCAGAGCAGGTTTTAGTATCTGACTGTCGAAAGTACAAAAGCCCAAAACAAAGAAAAAAAGAAGAGCATTTATGAAATTGTGACATGTTCAGAAATTCCACTTTTGTTTTTTCGTATGCTCCCAACACCTCTGTGCAGGTGAAATTGTGTAAGTAGTCTTAGGATAAGCCAGTAGAGACAAGACACTATTTCCAGTAAAAACTCCATAAAAATTTATTTGTGCAGTTTTTAAGCAAAACTGAGGCAGTAATGGGGTGAATGACCACTTATAATAATTATTTTAATTTATTGTAAACCAGGTATATCTCCACCGGTGTCTTCAGTTAACTTTCCAGTGTTGTCTTTAAGCCACTTAAAATAATGTTGCCATCAGAAATTTGGGGGGTGATTTTGGGTTTTTTTCAGCACTGTCTGGAGCCTTCACATCACAGTGAGTGAGTACAGCTGCAGCAGATACTTTTTCACACCTGCTGTCACCTTTGTCTCTGCCTAACTTACTGCACAGACATCCTAAATTTTTCTACCTTTCCTAAAATTTTTGATATAGCTAATCAACTTCCTTACAAGGAATTTTTCTTTTAGGATTCATCTCCATGAAACTAATTTTAAGACCATCTGCTGTCAAAAATTTATTTGGTGAGGTAAGCTTTACTTTGAAGAACATTTCAAAGAAAATGTAATGTCAAATGAAGTAACAATTCTACCCTTGTTTTAGAAGCCCAAAGTGTCTTTGACACTGTCCCTGTAATTATATCATGAAGGAGATGTGTAGTATAGCCATGTTTTCTCCCCCAGTAATATATTTTCAACTGAAGTAGGACAGAAAAGGTACTGCTCTACATGCTAAGAATAAATAACAGAACCCATGTTCTGCTTTTCAGACAGAGTCTCTAAAGGTGGGAAGCTTCACCTGCCACTGAGGACACTGAGGAAGCTGGTGTGATCCTGAGCCATGGAGCCTTGCAGAGAGACGAGGTATGTTATGTCAGCCTGACATCATTCTACATGCACATGGCATTAGCGACTCCAGAACACGGGCAAAGGAAGCTCACGTCTGCCTGGAAAATCCTAATTACTGAAGGTGTCCCCTCTGCTGCGTGACCTGAAAGGTCTGAATTGTCACTGAGCTCAGTCAGCCCTGCGTGATTTTTGCCATTCTAATAATTTGAGACTGCAGAGTTCAGGATCCAGCAGGTCCATAAGGGGCTGGAGCGCCATTTGCTGGCAGAAACAAGGGCAGAGCAAAGGCAGAGAGGTTGGGGATGAGGAAGGAATGGCGGAAAAAAGCACCTTGACCAGGTCTTCCCTCTCTTCACAGCAGTGAGATGCTGGAGGCCACACTGCAGCCCAATGGAAAAGGAAATTTGGAGGTTTGGGAATAGTGTTTATACCTGAACAGAAGGATTTAACGTTTCCATTGGGTGAAATTCCTTGGAACTGCTTTGTTTGAAAGCATTCAAATGTATCTGAGGGCCTCATCACAGACGTAAGGAATATTTGACCTTTTGGCAATCTCTGGAAGATGGCCTTGTCAAAGTTTATACCTCATGGAACATCAGTTTCTTCAGCTGGAATGTTTTGAACCCATTGGAACACTTTGGTGCTTCAGTGTGTGTCGGTGTCAGCAAGAAAGCAAAACAGGCATTGAAGCATGTTTTTGGTGAGATGTGTTGCCCACTTCAGTTTGCTTATGGCCATTGACATCTGTCTTCTTCTGCACATCTGGATTTAAGAACAGCCTTAATAAGAAAAGTGGAATTGATTTGGAATTTGAAACATCAGTCTTCCTATGCATGTTCATCAGGTATAACCAATGGAAATAGAAATGCAAAGCAGACATTTTTGCCAACTCAAATTCTAAAGTAGGTCAGAGTCCTGTAGGGTGTACATATTTTAGTCTCCCTCAACCTCTCCCTTCCACCCCCCCTTGAACCTTTTAGAACCAACTTAGCTATGGTAAAATCTTGTTAAGAAACAAATAATAGGAAAAACTTCAGCTAGATATTAAATCAGTGATATTTTACAAAAATGAGCCCTTTTTTTCCATTCAGTGCTGTTGGAATTGCTGCTTTTACAACATCTGTATAGACACAGGACTTCCAGATCTACTTAAGTAAACACTTTGCTTTTTTTATTTCCACTATACATGTAAGGGGATAAATAGGTTACTATTTGTGAGATTCATGAAAAGCTTCAGTTTAGAAGGCTCTTTTGTATTAGATGTCTTAATCCAATTTTCTTTATTGGATTGGTAAATGAAAATAAATTCCCTTGAGCTCAAATAATAAAGGACTAAAATAAACCTGGTGCACACACAACTCAAACTAATAATAAAGAACAAGCAGCATCAGTTTTAAAAACTGATTTGTCCTGAGCAGTGTTTCCAGGGGCCTGGAGTTCTGTCTGCTACACAGCTGCTGCCAGAGAGATCTGAACTTGAAGATGCTGTGTGGAAATTTCCAATCTCTTCAGTTTTACTTTATTTTTGCTTGTTTGAGATGTTCTCTCCCTTGCAGAATTTTGATTCCCCTGAGATGTTCTTGAGATGTGGATCTATCTCATTCCTGGAATGTGTCAATATCTTAATATGTCTTTCAAAACACTCTAGTTATAGGTGGTGGTAGGTTTTGTTCGTTTGTTTTTTTTCCTTACAAATTAGTTTTTTTCTTCTGGGACTTTAAGTTTCCTTGTTTTAAATAGAGCTTTTTATTCACTGCTATATCTTTTGGTAGAAATGATTGATGTTAATTTAATGTCTCTATTTAGTCAATTATCAGAAGTTTTAAACATTTATAACAAATGTTGGTAGAAACTCCTACATTCTTAATCTGAAATGGAAGACGAAAATTTTGGCAAATCTGAAGACCCTTACCTGAAATGCAGCTGAAAATTACAGTACAAATGTTTTTCTTTTCTTCAAACTCTGGGGATTGAATGCATCCACATATCGTTAGCCAAAAAACCCCAACCAACCAACCAACCAACCAACCAACCAACCAAAAAACCAAAGCACATTTTTCATTTCATTCCAACAATGTACTATAATCATGGATCTGACCCAAAGTCTTTGCCTGGTCCCATCAGCCTCAAAGATACTTGGACCTGCAAATGGGTTTAATCGTTTCATTGAGTCAAGGTCCCCATGAATATATAACTGGTGTTCACCTTACTGTGAGTAAAATGTTCACATTCTGTGAGATGCTGAATTCATTTTGAGATCTGTGATTCATTTGTATCAAAGTTTTGTTATTGCTAATGCTTCCCAGTGCTAGGTGCGAGTTATGGCTGAAATTCTTTTAGAGTATTTGGCAGGACTGTGTGAAGTAATTATAAATCATATGGTAATATTGAACCTTGAGAGAAGAAAAATCTCAAGAATTCTTAAATACAAACCAAATCTCCAAATTTTTAAAATGTCAATATTAAAATGTTCTGAAACAGAATCAAACCAGCTGTTTTAGTGGAACTTTTTGCCCATGAAGAGCTTTGCTTTCTATTGGCAGGTTTTGTTATTTCTATGTTGCAACCATTGTTATTACCTATAAAAATTCAAAGAGTTTGTTTCCTTTTATTTCCTTGTCTTCTTAAAGAAGTAAATGCTGGCAAAAAGAAGCAGGGAAGGAGGCGAGTTAATTCCCTGCTCTTAATAGTATTGCAAGTGAAGCATATGTAAATTCCTCAAAGAAACTTGTGTCATGTTTAAAACATATGGAATGACATATCCATCAAGGTGAAGAGGAGACAGGTAATTGTCCAGGTAAACAACTGTTTACCTAGAAGGACCTAGAACAGCAGTTTATATATTGCTGGGAGAAGAAGAGAAGATGTCTCACCTTCTTCTTCTTGGCAGAATTGTCCCTGAAGCACCTTTGGTTGCTATAATTATGCTTTGGGGAAAAACTTCTCTTGGTTGTATTTTCAGTTAATGCTTTCCCCATGTTTCATGCCATGCTTGGCGTGAGCATAATCCAAGGATGGATCAGTACTGGCTGCCTGGGCTATTGGATGGAGGAGCACACTAATCCTGGCAGATCACTTTCCTTACAGCTATGTCACACACAGGTATTGCTGACTTCAGCCAGGTAGCATGACCATCTGGAATAGACTGTAAGCACAGGTTAAGCTCTCACTTGATTTTAAAAATAACTTGTTTCAAATTACTGTAGTCCAAAATATTTAGCTCTTGCAACATTTAGTCTTTAGAAAAACATGTAGCAAGTGGCCAGACCTTTCAATACTACAAAGTCTCATTTGACCTTAAAACAGGTGTTGGTGATGGGTTATAGGTATGTCTGCAGGGGAATTATCATGGTGTCCAGGTTTTTGTTTCCTTTCTGCTACCTGAAGTGTGATGGGTCATTAGTGCGGTGGTTTGGGGTGCAGAAGACCAGATGCAGAGAATGCTGCCTCTCCTGTGCATGGCTGTGTGCTAGCACAGAGGCTTCAGAAGCAAACAAAGCAACTTTCTGCTTGTAGTCTTTTATTTTTCTCCCTGTGCCTGTGCAGCAGTGTCTGTCACTTGCAGCCAGCAGGCAAATGTGCACATCAGCTGTTCTCTTTTAGCAGGGGTGGTTTCATTGTTCAGTCTGAGTCACTCTCAAACTGCACAACTTTCTTTCATTTTGATGATAAGAATATTTTCCCTACATTTATACAACCATATTCAGTGATCCAGTAACAAAAGTTAACTCTCATGCAAATCCTAAGCTATGACTGGTCTAAAGTCCTCCTTTTTTCAAGCAAGAGAAATTGTTCAAGGCTAAACTCTGTTCCTGTTGCCACAGTTCTCATAATCCTCCTGTGCAGGCAAACTAACTCTTGGTTTCAAAGTATGTCTGAGTCAGGCATTCCTGTTTACTGGTGATCTAGAAGTGTGTTCTCTGGTATCTGGCAGCTAGAAAAGTGGGAAATCATGCTGTTGAGTGTGGCACTGGAGACAAATTGGTCACCTTTCCTTATTCTTCCAAAAAGGCAGAACTGTTCACGCCTCTTACAGATAACAGTGTTTATGTGTCTGTTTTCTCTCCTTCCACCTTCCTGAAGACATCCACCTCCTGTCCTAGAGGAGTTGTTGCAATCCAGGCATGTCCTTTCCTCTTTGGAATGAGATTCTCCTCTCCAGCTGAGCTTCTATCCAGGTTTTGCAGAATAAATTCAGGTGGAAACTAGAAAAAAGCAGAATGGCCTCCAACAGGCCTGTGCAGCCCTAACAGATACATCTCTTGCAAAGCAGGACAGGATGTGTGGTTTGTGTATAGGCTGCTCCTCACACAAGTAGGAAAAGCTCTGCTCAAGGGAGTGGCAGATTTGCACTTACAAATGAATTGCCTCTCCTCTGCTAGGGCATGCTTTCCTATTTCACTGTGTACTGTGAATCTGAGTGGAAATATTCCCTTGTTTTGGATGGAAGAGCATTCATGTTTTCATACTTTGGTATACACTGGTTGAAGCTGGAAGGAAGATTATGGGTCTAGGAGGAGTGATTGCATTTATTATGCCAAAGGAGATGTTCAGTCCTACACAAACCCACATTTGTATAGAGTGGTTGTTTCCCAAGCACGTGCTAATGAATTTAAACCTTCTTTTTGTATGCACATGATAAGAATGCACAATATCTTATTCAGGATATAATGCAGAATAATAAAAGATCATCGCTGTGAGCATCTCTGTCAATTTCATTTTACTTCCAGACTTCAACTTCAGACCCCTTTAAAACCTCTCTGCAGCCAGACTCTTAGCTTGTCAGCACTGGCACAGCTGCACAGGTCTGACCTCTTTGCTTAAGAAGGACTGCAGGATTTTATCGCCTCAGGTACTCTTGAAACATATTCCACATCCAAGAACATCCAAAATTCTGAAAACACTTTGAATTCCCCCATCCTAATCCAAACCATAGTCTCCTGATGCCTTTGCTTAATTGTGTATTTGTTTGTTTTTAAGGACCTCTATGGAGCAAGTGCTATGAAACAGCTATTTTTGTTATTTATCATTGACAAATTTCAAAAAAATAAAGTAATTGGAGAGAAGTATTTTCCTCATATACTCTATATCAGTGTTTTGCTCTCAAAAAAACCCTCACTAACCCTTTTGAAAAACACTTTTGCAGATCTTTTCATGTGAGGCCACTATCTCTTGCATTTGAAGAGTGGTCTGCAAACAAGAATGGAGCTTTAGAGTGGGTTGTCTTCAGCAGTCTGTATGTGCCTTTCCTGCCAAATACAGGTATTGTTCATGGTGCCTGTCAAATCATCAGTTCCAATCCCAGACCTGCCTATCCTGCTTCCCAGAGTGTTAGCAATGTGGTTGGAAGAGTTAAAGCCATCCCTCAGAAGCTTGTCCTCTTAGTCTTGAGGACACCAGTGGCATCTGGGCTTCAATGCCACAGTGGACAATGTCCTAAAATCACTGGTCTTGCCCCTGCAAGGATGGATGAATGTGGAGGTTTGTAGCTGCTATGTCCATAGAGTGCCCACTCCGACGAGAAACTGAATCTTATAGAGAGCACAGTGTCCTGTGGAAATTCTTTGATTTTCCCTGCCTAAAAAGTTAATATTAAATGATGTTTTTTTTTTTAATCTCATTCTTTTAGCTAGTAAATTATATTGTTTAAAGAAGTATGTTATATGTATCTAAATCCATTGAATTATTTTTTAGACTCTGGATGTCAGCCACTTTCAATAGTCTATAGATTAATTAATACTCAGAGTAATTAAACTTATCAGACCAAGTCCTTTCCAATGCCCTACATCAGAATTCTTAGCGACTGCTAACCCTAGTTCTCCAATCTCATAGCATTTCCTCAGGCATCTCTTTATCAGGATTAAAGAGAAAAACCAGCATCATCATACTCTGTGTATGTTCTACTTATCCAGTTATTTATTTATTTATTCATATTATTATGTGATGAATCTGGACAAACATGGGTTGTTTGTGACAACTTGAGGAACATGTCTCGGAGGGGTCAGGAACGAGTTGTAACTGGGAGTCCTGAGCTGAGCCTTACTGGAGTGAGAATGTTACTGGTGCCTCCACAGGACCCAGCTGTCACCAGCATTGCCCAACTAACTGGGCTGGCTGGTGCAGACAGGAATCATTTCATACACAGCATGTCACAGTGCTTGTGCAGAGCCAGAGCTGAGCTGAGATCTCTGAACCCTTGCAGAGCCTGAGGGTACTTTTTGGCAGAGGCTTGATAAAATCATGTGCCAAGTCTGCTGGAAGTCAGAAAATTTTCCATCTTGGCTCAAATCCTGCCAGTGCATTGTGCTTCCTATACATAGAACTACTGGGTTCCATGGATTTGTTGTAAGACATTGAATGCCAAATACAATTGTCTGCTTTGTGTGAGCATCAAAAAGCCTGGAGTTGCTCCTGACCCTCAGCGGGGTGGTGGTTGCTGTGGAGGGCATTTCAACATCTTTCTACGTGACTCTGACAAGTCCAGATGGAGAGCTGTCTGAGACACCAACAGCTGTGCCACAAGAACTAGCAATTTTTGACACAGCAGCATGTATGTTTCAGTTAGAGATACAGCTTGCACTCTGTAGATGCTGTTCCAGCTCTGCAGAGCACCAGAAGAACCCCTACAGGCAAAAATCAATGTGATCCAGACACTTTCAACTTAAGTTTTCTTATAAAAACATAGTTTTGCTCATAGAAGAAGCCTCTGAGAAAAGAATGTATATGTAAATTTTTG